CACATCTACATGGAGAGAAGCATCCAGTGGGCTACCTAAAGGTTTGGTCTTGGGCCCAGTACTCTTCAACATCTACATATTGATCTAGATGAGGGGATAGAAGGGAAACTCAGCACATTTGCAAATGACATCAAGATGGGGGAAATGGAGAACACTTTGAAAGATAGACTCAAGATTCAGAAGGACCTTGTCAGGCTTGAGTATCAGGCCCTATCCTACAAGATGCAGTTCAGTGATGAGAAAAGTAAGTCCTGCACCTAGACAGGAAAAACAGGTATAGAATAGGCGATACCTGGCTCAACAGTATTAACTGTGAGGGGGATCTAGAAGTTCAAGTAGCTCACCACTTAAGTATGAGCCAGCAGTATGCTGCAGCTGCCCAAAACAGCCAATGCAGTCTTAAATCGTATCAACAGAAGGATAGCATCAAGATCATGAGGATAGTAGCGTTTTATACTCTACTGTGATCCCACCCTTTGGAATGCTGCATCCAATTCTGGCTACCACAGTACAAAAATGATGTTGAAACCTTAGAAAGTGTGTAGAAAAGAACAACAAAGAGGATAAAGGGTCTGAAGGCTAATTCATATGGCAAATGGTTGAGGGACCTAGGCCTGGCCTATCTGAAAAAAAGGATAGACTGATTGATAGAAGAATAATCTGGCCTATCAAAGAGAAGGATCAGAAGGGACATTGATAACGGTCTTCCAGTACTTTTATTTATTTATGTAACTTTTGTGCTGCTCATCTTCCCTGTAAGGTGACTCTAACCATAAACTTAACTTGAGGGGCTGCCACAGGAGATAGGGGAAGTGGATGGGGCTGAAGTGCTGACACAGTGCATCTCCACGGGGCTCTGTGGGATTGTGCCAAAATTCAACCTGCTAGGAGGTTCTGAGGGACCCAAATCATAGGTGATGAAGAGAGAGAGGACACTCCATTGATCACAAGGAGATTACAAACTCCTTGTTTGATTCAGAAGAAGCTCTCGTGCTGGCAGGAAGAAAAAGATGGCCATTGCATGCCTGTCCAAAGCTGTGACAGCCGACTGATGAAGCAAGCATAGAAACTAAGGAACAGTGTGATCGACCTGGATGAGGTTTTTCTAATTCCTATTGAGGAACTTTCCCCTTTAAATTAAGCTTGGGCGACAGTGAGACTCAAAGAAGAGGGTTAGGGTTCTCTAGTATGCTGCAGCTATAGTGCTGTAGTACTTCTCTTCCTCCAATAGATGGCTCTCTTAACCCAAATCCAATATTAAATTGTTGTCAAAAACAGCTGATTTTCCAATTAAATCCAGGGGGTTTAAAAATACAAATAAACCAGATAAATTCTCCTGAAGATTGCCTTCAAATTATTTGAGCTTTTTCCAAGCTTTCTGCATTTTATTAGCTTGTCTTAGCTTTCTTTTGCCTCTTTGTTCTCAGTTTTTTTTCTCCGTCAATCCGCCGCTATCTTAAGCGTAGGAGTTATCTTTTAATATCCATGTTGTTACTTCCAATCTTCAGAGTAAAAGTTGGTAATTATCTCACCCAGTTTAAATGCTCTGTCCATACACTGCTCAAATCTTGTGGTCCTGGCTGTCCCAGCTTTGTGACAGCCCAAAAAAATGGCTGTCGTCCCTGCTGTCATTCGGGGAGAGCTTGCTTCAGACCTAATGAGGAAATTGTGGTTTCCTCGTAGTCAGCGAAGCGCCTCTCCTTCCTTCACCGTCCCTCCAAGGCAGCTATAACCTCGAAGGGTCTCCCGACAGTGGTTACAAGCTGGATTTTGCAGGGCCCACTATTTTCCAGGCGTTCACACCGCAAGGTCAACCAGAAGTCTATCTCATTTATTAGTTTCACCTTTTAAGCTGCATTACTGAAATAAATGAACTTTTGCACGATATTCTAATTTTTTGAGTTTCACCTGTAATACTCCAAATGTTGTTCCAGACAAATAAGAATCAATTTTCTCAAGGTGAGATGCCACCTTTTGCTCTTCGTGTCCTCTCTTGCCAATACATTCAGGGGGACTCAACATGGCAGTAATAACATTGCCAGGGCAAAAGGACAGAATTGTGGAGGGAAAGCTGCACCTTCCTGGCCAAGATTTAACCTATTTTGCTATAAAATGTGCCCATTATGGCTGGATGAGATGGTTTCTTACAGTGATGGGATTCAAATTTTTTTACTACTGATTCTGCGGACATGGCTTGGTGGGTGTGGCACACAGGAAGAATACTGTAAAATCTCCAGTCAGAGGTGGTATTTGCCAGTTCTCTGAACTGCTCAAAATTTCCGCTACCAGTTCTCCAGAACTGGTCAGAACCTGCTGAATGCCACCTCTGGTTTCTTACCTGCAGAGTAGCCGACCCTCAAACTCTCCTACTTCCTGGGGAGAGAATTTAACTTGGAGGGACTGAGATTTCCCTGGAGGGATCTTCCCGCTGCTGGGCTCCATGAAGAATGGAGGGCGGGTGACTACTGGAAAGACGTAGGAAGAGAAACTCTCCAGGAGGCTTCCCAGCTGGCTGAAGGGCCGGCTAGGCTGGACCTTGATGGAAACAGTTGATGCTCTAGATGGGTTCCCTGGCAAAAGGAACAGTTTATTGACACATTTCTGTAAATACTGTACTTTCTTTCGACTGACCTTCTGTTTGCTTCCCAAAATGGATCCCTCCAGAAATTCCCAAACTGTAGGATATTAAACTGAGGAAACCTGCTCACTTTAAAATAAATCATATTTTGAGAGACTCATCTACTAACAGAAGCATTTTCCAGTTTAAACTCACAGCAAACCCCATCCCCTGCAACTGATATTCCAGAGCTGGTTTCCTCAGTTTCAGGGTTTTGATTTCTGCTCCAGAACATCCTAGGCAACAAGAATCCTCATCCTAGTTGAGAATTCTGGGAACTGAAGTCCAATAGCGTCTTCAGAGACTGTTGTAAGCCACAAAGGATGGTGGAAGACAATGCAAAAACACAAAACAAAAGATCTGCAGCAAAGTCGAGATCCTTGCAACAGGTGATTGTTAGGGAAGGAAGAGCAAGAGGAAAATGGGCAGAGAAAGCGGTACCTTCTGGGCTTGCTGACAAAGGTTCAGTAGCAAAGTTGACAGCCTTCCCACCTTCTTCCATGACCACTTTCCAGGAATACTCCAGTTGCACATTCCCCGTGTTGGACAGCTCCATCCTGTGAGGGCAACAGAGCAGGGAGGAAATGAAGGCTCAGAGCTGAGATATATAACAAAAGGAGATACAAAGGAAGTGGCTGTGAGGGCCAAAGAATCAAAGACAGCTCCAAAGAGGATGTTGGTGAAAGCAGAGTCTTCTTGATCATAATATTTTACTTGGTCTCATCTTACTCACGTGAATACCCTTGTTTGGAAGAGTAACGTGTCTCTGAAGTGGACGGCATCCTCATCCATTTTATACTGGGCAAAGTCAACGTTGGCACTCACTCGAAGCACCAGGTCCTGGCTACTCTCCTCCACAGTCATATGAGCAGGTTCTGGATCAGTCTCTATCACCTGCCCCAAAAGCAGAAGGGTCAGAAGGCTTTGTGCCCATCGTCAGTGCTGCGGGCAGAAGTCTCTTGTTTGATGGCTGCTCCAAGACAAGAGGCCAGAAAGAGCAACCACCAGGAAAGGCCTAGAAAGTCTGTGCTCTCTGCACACGGTACTCAGCTGTGATGGCAGTTGCCTCAGGAGCACCAGCGAAGAAGGAGGTGGAGCAGGGCTGGCTCTCTTACATCTCCCTCCCTCCCTGCTTCCTTCCTTCCATGCTACAGAACTTACGCAGATCCTACACTTAGCCAGCCATGTCTGGATGGCCATTAGATAGGGTAGGAGGGGGGCACAGAAATCACCAGGATTTTTGCAGCAGGAGCAGCAGCCCAGATACATGAAATTACATCTATGAAATCAGAGGTGCTAAATGCGCTGAAGATGCACTGAAGGCAGTGGATGGGTGGCAATGAGAATCTGGAGGGCTCTACAGTGGCTGCCTCCCCAGTGATGGCCCTATAGGAAGGGCAGTTGGCACAACTCTTTGATTCTGCTTTCCTACCTTCTTTTTTGCTGGACGTATACTTGGGACACCTTTTGACACATCCACCCATTTGACCGTATGCAAGCGATCATCCCAGTCCGGGACCTGGTCAGCAGGGCACTGGAAGGCAATTCTGGACACCTTGCACCTGAGGAGCTGCTCCCGGAGGGTGATGGGCAGGCTGGACTTCAAAGCCAAAGTGATGTTTTTAGTGCACTTTGCATGGAGATGGCCAACCTGGAGAGAAGAGTTCAAACATTTTGAGATGGACAAAATTCTGAGAATCAAGGAATCAGCATTCATTGGCTCCGGGCCATTTCACAGATACGTTCATCTAGTTTTCTTGGCAACAAACTGGAAGAGGCTTGCCCTGGCACTTCTGAAAGGCTTCCTTATCTAGGAAGCGCTATCATTGCTCTCGAGCTGTACTTGAAAAACAATCTCTCTGGAAGTCAGGTAATTGCTGAGTGACATGACAAAAAGCCTGTTAAATTAGGAATGGGAACATGGAACCCCAGCACCTCATTTGTGCCTCCCTCCCAGTGGATGGGACCAAACTATTCTGAGCCGTGTTTTAACTATTTGGGGGCGGGGTGTCAAAATATATGTCTGGACATCTCTTAAAAGCCTGGCTTCCCCTCCCTTCAGAGGCAACTCCCCCCCAATAGGCCCCCCATGTTGTCACAGATCCCTCTGAGGACCAAACATGGGAATTCCCCGGCCTGACAAAGTTAGGAATCGCATTTGGATCTGGCAATTGGAGTACCACCAGCCTACCTGCGGGGAGAACTGGCAGGGGCCCACAGCAGGCCATTCAAATCTCATCACGTCCAACTTGCTGTGATTTGTGATTGAGAATGCAGCCTGATACAGCTTCCCAATGTGGCAATCTCCAAACTGGATGTGGTCCATTCTCACTGCTGTCAGAGAAGAGGGTGAGTGGTCTGCACCCCTCCGGCAGCCGCACCCGGATCCCTTCCCAACCCCTGCACTGGCAAGACCAAGCGAAACGGAAGGAGGGACACTGCACCGCAGGCTTTGCTGGGCTTGCCTTGCCCTCAAGTTTCGTATCCCCCACCCTTCCCACCAAGGACGGCATCCGGTTTGGCCAGATCGTGAATTAAGGAGGAAGAGGAAAAGCATTCAGTTGATGAACTGAGAGACAACCTCCCATATTCAGACCTCTTCTCTTTCAGGGGGAGGGAAATGGGTGGGAGTGGCCTGGCCCAGCCTCCTCAAGCAAGGCTGGGTCTCCTGGTGGTGGATGCCCTCTTGCTGGGCAAAGGAAGAGGAACAAGCAATTTGGGCCCTTTGTCCTGCAAGCCTTGGGGCACAAGAAGGGCCTTTCCCGCCCGCCTTCCACAGCCTCTGCAGTTTCTCAGGCTGACTCACCCTCTCCTGTGTTCTCCTCCAGCTGCCCCTCAATGTGCTCTGCATCGACCACTGGGCTATGAACATTGTCTAGCGTGACGTTATCCTGGTAGCCTTCGCCAACCATCTGGATGCTGGTTTCCTCATACGGGTTGTCCACAATAGAGAGGTGGATCAGCCCTTCCACCCGCTGGACCAAGCTGGGCTGGAAAATCACATCCAACTCAGCTGCCTCCCCGTTGTGCAGCACCAAGGAGGCCGTGTGTGGTTTTCGGACTACAAAGATGCAAAGAGCAAGTGTGAGTGCTAAAAGCGTGGAAAGAGTTCCCTGGCACTGCAGCAGGGACCCATAGCGGCCCAGGGGCAGCTAGTGCTGCACTCACACTCGGCCCTGATCCCTTGCCCCAGGCAGAAGAGGCAGCTTTTACCTCCATCGCTGGACTCACTCTCCTCGTTCTGAGAAGAGAGGTAAATGCACTGGGTGGTGGGCCTGGGCCTCAGGGTGAAGGCCCCACTCTCATCGGACACATCCAGGTACAACTGTGAGAGGGAGCAATGCAAACATCAACGCCCTGAAATGGGACCCATGACTTCCATGGAACTGAAATTTGGCAAACTTTATAAAACATTTCATGACACAACATTATTCTAAAGCATTTTATGATCTAATACAAACTGTCATGAAATATTTCCTGTGCTGATGTTTGACTGTGCAGTCCAGTTCAACGGAGGCTCTCTTCAAGGCAGAAGCATACGCTCCAAAGTACCCCTGGATTTTTAGGAACTTTTCAGGGCATTAGAAGCCCTACCACTGTTGAAGGCCTTGAGGAACCTGGTAAGGAAACCTCTGACATTGTCTAGCTCTCCTCATAGTTATTCAGCACTCAACATTTTTAGTGTAGAGTCTTGAGTCTCAGAAAGCTTCTCACAGCTCTGCTTTCAATTGGCAGCCTGTAGGCTACATCAGGAACACTGGATTTCCCCAGTCTGCCCACCCACCCCCAAACTCAGCTGCCCTTCTTTTACAATCCCTGGAAATAGGGCAGCTCTCAAAGGAGTGGAAACAAGGGAGCAGCACTAATAGCCCAGCAAGGAAAGAGGGCAGAGAGAGCGCTTCCTTTGCCACAGTGGTGCTCTAAGCATTACCCCCTCAAGACCCCCTTGCCAATCTGCGATTGCTCTTCTGAGCACTGGCCGCTACCTGGACTAAAAGGCTTCCGCTGTTCTTAAGGACAAGGGGGAGTGCCTCCGTGTGACCTAAGAGGAGCTTTCGGAAGAGGAGGAGCGGGTTTCCCTTTTTATTGTGAAGAACAGGGCGCACAATGGTGATCTGAGGAAGGCTGCCATCTCCACTGACTTCAAAGGACAGAGCTCTTGATCTGGCAACCACACTGAAAGACAAAAGGAATCACTGTTCTTATGTGCAAATTAAGAAATGTGCCCTCTTCAGTAGCCAGTTGGAAATTACCTGGGCATTGCATCTACTGAAGCCTCAAAAATGCACTGGTAGTTTTGCATGGCCTGTGGTGAGAAGGTCAGGGTAGCAAAGGCATGCGAATGACTGGCGATGGACATGCGCACAGAATGGAGCTCAAAGGTGTCGCTGATTCGGGCAGTGGACTGAGGAAACATCCATAGAGCAAGCAGAACTTCAGGAATCACCCCAGAGAAAGATCTGAGGACCCCACCCATCACCCACACCTCCACCCTTTACAGGCTATGGAGTTTGGCTGCAGTATATCTCTAAGAGCCATGGTGGCGCTGTGGTTCGAGTGCAGTACTGCAGCTAATTCATCTGACTGCCAGCACTCTGGCAGTTTAATCTTCACCAGGCTCAAGGTTGACTCAGCCTTCCATCCTCCCCAGGTGGGTGAAATGAGGACCCAGATTGTTGGGGGAAAGAGGCTGACTTTGTCAACCGCTTAGAGAGGGCTGTAAAAGCACTGTGAAGTGGCATATAAGTCTAAGGGCTATTGCTATTCCCTGACTCAGCCTGCCTGTTGTAATGGGAATGGACAACCTTGGCTTCCTGTCTATTGTAGGAAAAGTCAGGAACAGCCCTGTGGGATTGGCCTCTCAAAACCAATGGCTTCCAGAGCAACTACCCTTTCACAAGACAGGAGGGCGCAAGCGCTCGGCCAATTGCCACATGATTAATGTTCTTCCGAGCCTCCCATGAAATGGAATGGGACAACGTTACAAAACATGTGATGCAAACACTCTTTGTCCTTCTTACCTTGGCAGAAATGGGTTTTGTGGTCATGACAACATCGCAGGGGATTCGGCCAGGGTTGCAGATCTTGAAGCGGGCTGTTGCCTGGTGCCCAACCAGGACATTGTTAAAAAGAAACTTGTTCTCATCTGTCACAAACACACCTTCGCAGCCGACGGACTTCAGCACCTGGCTGAGGTTGCCACTGTTACAGATCCGATGCTCCTCGTAAATGATCCCTGGATTGTCAGTCAAAAATCCTTGGGAAATCAAAATGACATCAAGTCTCAGAGACTTTTTCCTCATCACTTGCACCACAGGAACTGCAGGAGGCAATATCAGCAAGGATTCTGGCAACGAATCAGCATTCCCCAACCCATTCTTCTAATATCAGCTGCCTGCCTTCAACCTGAGAACTGCAAAGTTGCCTTTTGCACCACCTTCAGGGCTGCTAGATAGATTCTCCCCAGACCTGAAGGGTCTCTGCTGAGATGAAACAACCGAGACAAAAGTTGCATTGTCCTCCTCCTTCCCTTCCTCCTCCTTGAGTAGAATAGGATAGGACAGAATAGGAATATGGAAGGGACCTTGGAGGTCTTGTAATCCAGCCCCTGGCTCAAGCAGGAGAACCTATACCATTTCAGATAAGTGACTGTCTAGTCTCTTCTTCAAAGCCTCCAGTGATGGAGTGCCCACGATTTCTGAAGTCAAGTTTTTTATTTATTTATTTTATTTTGACAAGCGATTATTAGATATACCTGTTATCTAAGTATAAACATAGTTATGAATACATGAAATGGATACAAATAAGAAAAAGAAAGAAAAAGAAAAAAAGAAACAATAGGACAGGGACGGTAAGCATGTTGGTGCGCTTATGCACGCCCCCTACAGACCTCTTAGGAAAGGGATGAGGTCAATAGTAGACAGTCTGAGGTTAAAGTTTTTGGGGTTGGGGAAGAAATCACAGAGTTAGGTAGAGTATTCCAGACATTGGCCACTCTGTTGCTGAAGTCATATTTCCTGCAATCAAGTTTGATGCAGTTTACCTTGAGTTTGTATCTATTGTGTGTTCTTGTGTTGTTATGGTTGAAGCTGAAGTGTTCATTGACAGGTAGGACACTGCAACGTATAATTTTATGTACTATACTTAGATTGAACCGTCATAGTTCTAGGTTGTCTAGGTCTAGAGTTTCAAGTCTGGTGGCATAAGGTATTCTACACTGAGTAGAGGAGTGGAGAACTCTTCTTGTGAAATATTTCTGGACTTTCTCAATTGTATTAATATCAGATATGTAATGCAGGTTTCAGACTGATGAGCTGTATTCAAGTATTAGTCTAGCAAATGTTTTGTATGCTCTAGTTAGTAGAGTGATATTACCAGAGAAAAAGCTACGCAGGATTAGGTTTACAACTCTTAATGCCTTTTTGGCTATGTAGTTACAGTGGGCTCTGGCACTTAGATCATTTGAGATGAGTATTCCAAGGTCCTTGACAAAGTTTGGGTCATCAACAAGGTCTTGACTATTCAGCCTGTACTTTATTTTCTGATTTTTGTTGCCAATGTGTAAGACAGCATTTATTTGTTGAGATTTTAAGTTGCCATTTGTTTGACCATTCTGACACATAGTTGAGGTCTTTTTGAAGGGTAGCAGTATTGTTGGTGGTGTTGAATAGCTTTACATCATCAGCAAAAAGAATGCAGTTGCTCTTAATATGATCACAGAGGTCATTTAGGTAGAGTATGAAGAGAGTTGGTCCTAGAACACTGCCTTGGGGGACCCCACTGTGGACAGGTACAGAATATGATAGGACGCTCCCAATTTTGACCATTTGTTGTCTGTTTGACAGGAATGCTTCTACCTATGCAGGTGTCCAGAGATACCGTAAGATTTTAGTTTTAGGAGCAGTTTGTTGTGTACCACTGAATCAAAGGCTTTACGTCTATGTAGATTGCGTCTATTGCTTTGCCCTGATCCAGTTGTGTAGTCCATATGTTTTTGCAGTGTAAGAGTTGCAGATTACAGGATAGTTTTTCCTGAAACCAAATTGTTGATTAGAGAGTAGGTTGTTTGTCTCTAAGTGGAGGATGATGGATTGGTTAATAATTGATTTCATGACTTTACAGGTGACGCAGCATAAAGAGATTGGTCTGTAATTTTCAACTAGGCTGGGATCTCCCTTTTTGAAGATGGGGATGACCGTGGCTAGTGACCATAGGTTTGGCAAAGTTGTTCCACTGGTCAATTGTCCTCCCTGATAGGAAGTTTCTCTTTAATTCCAGGTTGCTTTTCTCTTTGATCAGTTTCCAACCATTGTTTCCTGTCCTGCCCTTTGATGCTTTGGAGAATAATTTGACCCCCTCTTCTTTGTGGCAGCCTGAAATACTGAAATACTGCTATCATGTCACCCCTATTTCTTCTTTTCTTTAGACTAGCCAAATCCAAACTCTGCAGTCGTTCTTCATATGTTTAGTCTCCAGGCCTTTGATCATCTTAGTTGCTCTTCTCTGAACTTTTTCCAAAGTCTCAACATCTTTTTTGTAGCGTATGGTGACTAAAACTGGTTGCAGTATTCCAGGTGTGGTCTTACTAGGGTTTTACAAAGTGGTACTAGTACTTCATGTGATCTTGATTCTATGCCTCTGTTTATACAACCCAGGATTGTATTAGCTTTTTTGGCGGTGGCTGCTCATTGCTGGCTCATGTTCAAGTGACCATCCACTAGGACTCCAAGGTCCCTCTCACAGTTACTGTTTCTGAGCCAGGTATCGCCTAATCTGTACTTATACTTTTGATTTTTCCTGCCTAAGTGTAACACTTTGCTTTTCTCCACATTAAAATTCATTTTGTTGGATAGGGCCCATTGTTCAAGTTTGTCAAGATCTTTTTGGATCCTGAGCTTGTCTTTTGGGATGTTGGCTACTCTTGCCAATTTGATGTCATCTGCAAATTTGATGAGTCCCCTTCTATTCCCCCATCTAAGTGATTTATGAAGATATTAAAGAGTACTAGGCCTTAGACGGAGCCTTGTGGTACCCTACTTCTCTCCATGTAGATGTAGTACTATTTAAGGACTACTCCTTGAGTACAGTTTGTCAGCCAGCTACAAATCCCTCTGGTGGTAATGTTCTCTATTCCACATTTTTCTAGCTTATCAAAAAGTAGGTTGTGGTCTACTTTGTCGAATGCCTTACCAAAATCTAATTATATTATGTCCACAGCATTTCGCTGGTCTACTAATTTAGTCACTTTATCAAAGAATGGAAATAAGATTGGTGTCAGCTTTGGAAGCCATATTGACACCAGATGCTTCCACATTGCCACATTCTTGAGCCTGAGAAAATGGGAGGGGGGAATTTTTTGGAGTGTATATGGTTATCATTCTTCTTCTAAGTCAAGGTGATGTTATTTGTGCACCTGGGTGAGGGGATGTCTCAAGTTGTGATGGATGGTGATTGGGGCATGTGATGTGGTGATGGGTGCAGGGGTGGATTTGTAGTTTTTACTTATTGCAAGGAAACCTAGAACTTTCAGATTTGGGATTTCCCAGATGTGCCAGTTTACTATCCAAATAAAACAGAACTTTTGAGAAGATGCTTATCTCCGAGTCATTTGTTTGAGTGGACGTTTTCTGGAACACTGACATTTGGTTTGCATGATCTGTTTTTGCTTCTAGTTGTTTGCAGATCTATTTCTTGATTATCTTTTCCACAATCTTCCCAGGTATTGGTGTTAAGATGATTGGTCTGTAATTTACTGGGGTTGGGGTTTTTTCCCTTTCTTGAGGATGGGAATAATATCAGGCTCCTGAAGGGTCCCTGCAGGGTTGCTCCAAGGGGCGGCTGGACTGGAACCTGTTGAATAGGGAGCTGCCTATTCCCTTCTTCTCCGTGCTGGAAAAAAAGGGGGGGGCTGCAGCCTGATGCCTGTGCTGATCCCCTCGCTGAGGAGGGATCGCCGCTGCTCCTTGGGCCCATGGTGCTCCCAAACTAGATGGTGCAACTGGTGCTGCCATCCACTGGCATCGGACCCACCCCTGACCAGGATAGAATCCCCATCCTGGAGGAATACTCTCCACAGGGGGTAATCTCCTTGCTGGCTGTGGAGGGGGAGGAATTGGGGTTTGTAATGTACCCCATGTCGGCTGCATCTGCTGTCCCTCCCTTGCTGCTTGGGCCTGCTGTGCTGAGCCGATCCTTGGGCCACCTCTGACCGATGCCACGCTGGTTCCACTGTCAAGTCTTGGATTAGGGAAAGTGAACGTGGGCTGACTTAGGATCCAGCTTGGCTGGAGAGGTTATGGCTGTGAGAGATAACTCCCCACCTTAAATTGCTGGAATTGCTCTGGGATCCCTGCCAATGACTGGCTGCAGGATGGAGGCAACAGGTTCCAGTCTTGGGAGTTGTCTGATTCCAAAGCCCCCCCCAGCTTCTCCACTCTGTCTCGTGGACCGATCTCAGAGGGCTGGAGTAGGATAGGTGCTCAGGCAGCTTCTCCTCCAGTCCCATCTCTGGATTCAGCTCAGTCTGGCAGCTTCTCCATGAATCTGATTCCTTGGGCCGAGTGCCTAGTTTCCATCTTTCCTCTGCAGCTTCCATCACTTGTACAAATTCTTCAGGAGGGCACGGAGTCTCAATTAGTTCTCAGGTGCCCGGGTTCACTGTTCCTTCTGTAGCTTCCTCTCTTTCTTTCATCTTCAGAAACTTCACACTGCTCCATTTTTTGAGTCAGTGCTGGGGCTCAGCACCCCTGACAGCCCCTTTTCGGGGTGCTGGAGTTTGTTTCGAGATTCGGGATGTCAGCATTCCAGCAAACTTCAATTCCAACCAATAACTCTGAGACAGATATCTCTCAAATGTTCCTTTTATTTGGATAGTAACTGGCACAACTGTGGAATCCCGAATCTGAAAGTTCCGGGCTTCTTACAATAAGTAAAAATTACAGATCCATCCCTTACACCCATTACCACATCACATGGCCCAATCACCATCCGTCCCAAAGTAAGACTTCCTTTTCACTATGCGCAACATGACCTGACCTTGAATCAGAAAAAGAATGTTATTCGGTCTAACTATACTCCAATTCCCCCCTCCCACTTTCCCAGGCTCAATTGTGGCAGTGTGGGAGCATCGAATTTCAATAGGGCTTCCAAAGCTGATACAATGAGGTACTGCATGACTTTTTGTACAAGGAAGTGTTGGTGTATTTGGAGATATTTTAATATACACTGAAACGAGGGAGGAACATGTGAAATTGGTGTGGGCAGTCCTTAAAAGGCTCTGAACTGCTGAACTGTATACAAAACGTTCAAAATGTGAATTTCACCAAGATAAGATTGATTAACTGAGTTATCATATCTCAAATGAAGGAGTGGAAATGGAATGCCAAGCAGTGTTTCAAAAGCTCTAACGAATGTTCGCAACAGAGCCCATGCTGAAGCAGCCCGACCCAGAGGCCCCATTTGTAATTCAGTCCGATGTGAGTGATGTAGCCATGGGGGCAGTGTTATTGCAAAGGAATTCTTGGGGGTTGCTACAGCCATGCGCATACCCTTCTAAAAAACTCACTGAGATTGAACAGAGGTGGGCAGTATGGGAGGCGTATGCAGTGCGGTGGGCCCCACTCACTTGGTGGCATTTCCTGGAAGGGGCAAGGATGCCATTTGAGGTATGGACTGACCATAACAATCTGCAAGCCCTGAAAACTCCACACAAGCTATCCTCTAAACAAATCTGCTGGACTCAACACTTTAATCATTTCAACTTCACTCTTCATTATGTCCTAGGGGGGAGAATTTTATGGTGGATGCTTTGTCTAGATTGCTCAAAACAATGGCGTTAAAGCTGAAGTGGTCAAACCTGTTATCCCCTTGAAGCAGCTAGCAGCCCTGGTAACCACTAGAGTTCAGGGGAAAGAAGAGTCTAAGATTTCAAATGAACTGTCTGAGAAGCTCAAAGAAGCACTAAAATCTGATGAATGACTTACTACTCACAAAAATGACTGTACCATGCATGATGGTCTGGGTTGGGTCAGAGCCAAATTATACATGCCCTCAAGCTTGAGAGACGCCATATTAAAGGGCGCCCATAACTCTAAGTCAGCAGTACATTTTGGATTCATAAAAACCCTGCACTTGGTTAAGAGGCAGTTTTAGAGGCCTTCCTTGAAGAAAGTCATTGAAAGCTATGTGGCTGGCTGTCCAGTTTGTGCTGCGGCAAAAGGGAAACTCACAGGAGTTTTACAAACTGGCTAACCCCAGGCACCATGGAAAAAAATATCTATGGACTTTATTGTGGAATTGCCTGAAAGTAGGGGAACACTGTTATTTGGGTTGTTACGGGTCTCTTTTCAAAACATGCACAGTTTGCTCCCTGTCCCCAAAATTCCCTCCGCAAAGATGTTAGGTAAAGTTCTTTATACAGCATGTGTATAGGTTGCATGGTGCACCTGAGCACATTATTCCCGATAGAGGAGTGCGATTTACATTGCAATTTGGGCGGGAATTCTTGAAGCTGTAGGGAACTGCCCAGGGCTTAAGCTCCTCCCATCACCCCCAAACTAATGGGGCTTTTGAGAGAATGAACGCAGTCCTGGAACAGTTCCTCATAACTAATTACCAACAGGACAATTGGGCTGACCTTTTGCCTTTTGCAGAGGTAGCATACAACAATTCTGTGCATAGCAGCACGGGGTTCATGCCATTTAAGATGGCCTCTGGTCAGGACTTCATAACTATGCCAGAGCTTCCACAAGAGAAAGCACATGTGCCCTCCTTAGTGAAGTGGATAGCACAACTGCAGAACACTTGGCCCGTTGCCCGTAAGGTGCTGGAGGAGGAATGTTAGACACATAAAAAACAAATTGACAAAAAACATCTGAAGCCAAAAAATTTTCAAGTAGGTGACAGAATTTACCTCTCCACAAAGTACTTAATCCACCCAATCATCTAAGAAACTTGATCCTAAATATGTGAGCCCATTCCCTATTGTAAATATAATTAATCCAGTCACTGTGCAACTGGAGTTGCCCAAGAACCTAAAGCGTATTCACCCTGTATTTCATTGCAGTTTATTGAAACCTGAAAACCCCTTCACCCTGCACTTGACACTCCTCCCATACCCACTCTGATTGAAGGGGAGCAGCATTTTGTATTTAAAGAAATCCTAGATTCCAGGAAATCTAGAGGAAGGGTCCAATATCTAATTTCTTGGAAATATTTTCCCCTTGCGCAGTCGAATGGGTGGATGCTAAACATGTCTGGGCACCTAAACTCCTCGACTTTCTATAGAAAATACCCTGACAAACCCTGAAGAGATTGCTAGTTTTGGTGTGATGTATTGTATGTTTTCATTGTATAATTTTATATGGCTAATGCCTCCGTTACGGGGGGCTGAATGTCAGCCAGCTTGTTGCTTGCTGCCATAAAATAGGGGGAGAATAGGGGGGAGAATTTGCTGCCATACAACTGTGGAGAATTTTACATTGCAGCTTTGCAATGGCAGTTATCTTTAAGGCCATGGCAGCTGGCTCTGGTATGTGGTGGCCTCTGGCTGCCTAGCTACAGGGGGCTGGGCAGTATACTATATTTGTATTCTCGCTCTGAAGCCTCAGAGCTTGCTTGAAACCATTTGCATTCAGTTTGTTCCTAGTAAAAATACTTTTCTCTAAATCTATGGAGCAAGGATTCTTCTTTCCTAGGAATTGAACAGAGGAAGCCTTGACACAGACCAGGCCCACATCTGCCTCAAAGTTCTGACTAGCATTCAGCTGACATCCAACTTAGAGTGGATCTAAATGATTTGATCCACAGCGAACTGAGAAGAACTTCATTGCAAGGTGTCTGGCCTTCAATAGCAGCAGCAGTCAAAAGCCTGGGCTTCAGAAGGTCCAATGACCAGGTATTGGGGGAAAGAAGACCAAGACTGTGTTATCTGGGTGCAGCCCACCCATGTCTCCTGCCACATCTCCATCTGCCCATAACTACACTAATAGTCATGCCTGCCCCCTTCCTCAGGAAGCCAGTCTCCCCGCAGAACTGAGGTAGCCTTCCTCCATGCCAAGGTGCTAATGCCTTCATCAGAAATATTTTCAGAAATCTTTGTATGTTGCTAATCCCCCAGAAATGCATTCTAACCTTTCTTGTGCCCATTTCTTTCTAAACCAGGCCTTCATCTAAGGGACAATTACATGTTTAATAGCTTACTTCTCAGAAAAAAATGAAACCTGATTTCCTGGTTTCGGAGTGTGGATCATGGTGTATCCCCAGGCAGTGTAAGCCAGGAGCAGGTCTGCCTACCTGGGATGCAGGACTCTGCAACAAGAGTGTAGAGGATGCCTCCTGGACTGTCTTCGGGGTCTCGGTCTGTGATCTCAATGATCAGGTATTCTTCACACTTCCCAGCAGGCTCAGCAAAGCAATCCACCGTGATGACCTGATGGCCTCCTGCGGCAATGTTTCCATACCCCGGAGATACAGTGAACATACCGAGAGAGAAGCGAGCCTGTGGAGAAGACAGGGGTTGCTTTCTCTTAAACAACTGCTGGCTGATTCCAGCTGTTCTTTTGCAAGAGAGGGAGATGTAGACAAACAAGCCTGCAAAGGAGCCCTGGTGATTCAGCGGTGGCAATTGTTTCTCAAGGATCAGTGAGAATAAGGCAAAGTGATACAGGCAAAGTCTTTCCTTGATTTACAGAGAAGCACCCCAAGTGTGGTCGTCCCCACCGGAGCCACACTTTCTGGATCATATGTGCCTGGCCCTGTTTCCCTTGGACATGTTCCAGGGCTTGAGGTCCTGGAGCAGCATGGAGAAACCTGGATGGGAAAATCCTGCCCCAAGCCCGTTCTCCCCAAATAAAGCATGAACGTTGCCTAATCAAGGCTGGCAGTGGGAGGGGGAGAAGTGCAAATTAGGGGAAGCCATCCTTTGCCTACCTGCCCTATCAGGTTCATGTCTTTCTGCAAAGAGTCCGCATGTTTGCTTTGCCTGCCCGTGCTCATAAAAGCATTCTGCCGGCTGAGGTCTGTGTCACGGGAACGGGAACTTTTGATGTTAGAGTTTCTGAAAGAGGAAGCATTACAAAATAGATGGAATCTTATCTGCAGTCTCAGAGCACAGGCTTGGAAGGTCACGCAAAGATGCACAGCCCACTTTCTGAGAATGTGTTTTACACCCACACTCACCTTCCCAGGGCCATAATAGAATCAAAAGAGAGACCACACACACACACACACACACACACACACACACACACACACACACACACTGGCCAAGTTGGAAGATTCCCCCCCCCCCAGGGGATTTTTGTGGAGAATCTGAGCTCTGCTTCCACTTTCACATTTTACACTCCTCGATTGTTGTAACTGTGAGGGTTCTGACAAGAACATTTGATGTATGTGCGCCTTTCCTTCCTTTAAAGTGTCATTTCATTTCTCAAGGGCTGTGAGGGCTGCAGTTCCCTACTCCATTCCCCAAAATTTTTCATGGTAGAACAGTAAATGGAAAAAGTTAAATCAAGGAGGGGGCAACATGTTGATAACAGATAATCAGAGTTGGAAGGGACCTTGTCGGTCATCTAGTCCAACCCTCCGCCCAAGCGGGAGACCCTACACCATTTCTGACAAAAGGCAGTCCAATCTCTCCTTGAAAGTCTCAACTGATGGCGCTCCCACAACTTCCGAGGGCAAGCCGTTCCATTGATTAATTGTTCTCACGGTCAGAAAGTTTCTCCTTATTTCCAGGTTAAATCTCTCCTTGATCAGTTTCCATCCATTATTCCTTGTCTGGCCTACAGGCGCTTCAGAAAATAGCTTGACTCCTTCCTCCCTGTGGCAGCCCCTCAAATATTGGAAGGCTGCTCTCATGACTCCCCTGGTCCTTCTCTTTACTAGACTAGCCAAGCCCAGATGACAGGCTAGCCTTCAATCCCATCTGAGAGCACCTCTGAGATCATCCAAATCCAGTGTAACCCTTGTAAATATGCAAATTCCTGATTGAAGTAGGATCATTGTCCCCCAAGAAGATGGACCAAAACAAGAAGACTCCTAAATCAGCCTTCCTGATGTCTTCCCCGTGGGCTTCGCTTGTGCGAAGCCGGCAGAGAACCTCAGAAATTGTGATCGTGTGACTGGCTCTAAGTCCTTCCAGTTCAGCATCATCATAACTTTGAATGATTGCTGAACAAGTGGTTGTAAATACTTGATTGTACTACCTGTACTACCTTTACCTGTACAATAAAGAACCTTCAGGGTAGACACCAGAAGGAGCTTCCTGAAGATATCAAGTATCGTGCAGTGGAACAGGCTGTCACTTAAGTGTCTCATTATATGGGAAGTTCCCTTTTGCCAGAGGTCTTCAAAGGTCATCTATCAGAGATGATCTAGTAGATCCCAGTTGAATGAACTGACCACTAAGATTTCTTCGAAGGGTGTGACTAAAATTAAAATTTACGATTGGGTACCAACCTTTAGACCACTCTCTGGGCCAGAGCGGCTTCTGCTTTATTGGGATCATTTTGGCAGACTGCAATCTCTGAGTGCTGCCACATTTAGGAAACTTCTAAAGAAAATGAATCCTTTTGCCAGGCAAAAACATTTTCCTTCTTCCAGGTATGTGAATGTTTATCTCTTTCTTGTGCTAGTTACATATTGCCATTTCTTGTTATAAGAAAGTTTTAATATTTGAAATAATTTTGAAACTGCTCTGAGAACTTTAGCACAATAAATAAATCTCAAGAAACACATGAGCACATAGAAAGATGTGGCTGTGCCAAGAAATGAAATTCTGCTGCTCTCGTTAATGCTAAATATTTAGAAAATGTCCCCGTTCTATGTACACCTGATTTCACGCACAGAACAAATCAGGCTAACAGATCCCAGGCCTAATCCCTGAAGATGAAGCTCACCCTTTCCTTGCTGTAATCACAACGTCACGGACTTGCTTGCAGGTGGTGAACTTAAAGTCCAGGACCCCCTTGTTCTCGATGGTGAAGCTGCTGGTCTTCCGGGTGCCGTTCATGAGCGGCCCAAAGTTAATGACGGATGGAGGGACAATATTGTACTTGCTGAATAAGGACAGCACTGACAATCGGATGGGGATGGTGGCAATGGTCTCCCCCCCCTCACAGAGGGAAGGCTCAATCACCTAGAGCAAGGGGGAGAAGAGACTCAGGCTGGCTCCCACCTTGTTGGGTCTAATGTTAGCTGAGCCACCTTCTTTCCAGCCAGTTACACCCGGGGTCTTACGTGGCACTGCAGAACAGGCTTGTCCTCAATTTTCACTTCCTCCTTCGAATGGAAGACAATCTGGACCTGTGTAGGGCGGTCATTGGGGCTCAGATTCCCCTTCTGGGGCTGGATGGTGAACAGCTGACCCAGGTTAGACATCCCATATTCTGTGGATTCAATAACCAAGCTGGGGAAGAAGAACACAATCCTAAAAATCCACAGTCTCTTGCATCTGTTTCTTTAACAGCTGATGGGATGTTTGTGGTGAGAGGTCTCATCATCTCAATTGCCCGTCCAGCCACCCACCCACCATTTCTTAGTCTAACACTCACAGAGCTTTGCAAAAGCCAGTGTGCCTCTCCAAACAGCATGCAGCCCACAGTGGCAAGGGGAGCATTCCAGATTAAAAGCATGCATGCACACATTTCAAAATAAAAAAGGCCTCAAATATTAACAGTTAAATAAAATGTGAACAATGCAGACTTTATTGAACAAAAAGGGCATGCAGGATTTGGATTGTTAGAATTGCAGGACAAAAGTGTGAGTGAGGCGAGCTCGAATGACTTATCTTTGAGGCTTTCACTGAGATATAAAACTTTAATTAATGATACTGAAGCAGGGAGCAAAGGAAAAACAAAGGGAATTTCCTGAGGAGCAGGGCTTACCTGAAAGCAATCTCGTATTTGCCTTTGTTCTTCATTGATAACATTTGCTTAGCTTCGTCCATAACTCTGACAACCCCAAATTCCAAACCACCATTTGTTCCTGTTTGGGCCACAAACAGAAAAGACAGCATGAAGCTGAGGAAAATGCTCAAAACTTTCTTCCATAATGCTTCTGCCTGACTCAGGTGAGCAGAAACACCAGGCCGAAGTTTCTCACTTGTCACAGACCATCCTAGAAATGCCCCACTGACAGATGCTGATGTTCAGCTCTGACGGGAACTTTGCCCCACAACACACTCTTAACCTCACAACAAACTTCAAATGTCAAAGAAACTATAAAAGAAAAACCCAATAAAACAAAAAGATGTCAAGTGCAATGAAGGGAGGGATTTATTTCCCTGCCTCTAGGGTGAAGAGCTTCACGGAATGGGGGTATCCAGATCTGGGGTGGATCATTCCAGAGGGCAGGTGCTATTACAGTCCTGAGCAGAGACATTGTTTAACTGAAGGAACCAACAGTGCACCAACCCAGCTGGATGAAGTTGTCCAGACCGATGTTATGGGAGAGAGGCGATCCCTCATGTAGCCAGGCCCTATGCCATGTAGGGGGGCAACATATTTATATGTGTCTTTTTGTTTTTGTTTTTTTCTCTTTTGTAATGCACATTTTTTCAATGTTTTGTTTAGATCTGTATTGTTTTTCTAAGATTTCTTTTTTCTCTTTGTATTTTAACTTTCTGAAGAAAATAAAAATGTATTGAAAAGTGCTTCCTTTGACAGCAAGGATCCAACCTCCATCACTGTCTTCTGACCCCAAAGGGGAAGGTCAGGTGGAAAGCAGGTGCAGCAGAAAAGGCTGTGGACCAAGGGAAGTAATGGGGGAGGGACGGACGGATGGACACAACTGATTCTCCTCAAATGCTTCCCAGTGAGCACTCAACTGAAAATCCTCAGAGTTTCAAAAGAATCTTAATTTTAATTTAATTTAAATAAATAAAAGATAACTTGCCTTTGGGGAAACTGATATCCAGGGCGACATCATAGGCCTCAGCAACAATCTGTATATTTTCAATCTGAACAATTCCCAGAATATTTTCTGCATCAGAAACCTAAAATGACCACAAGGATTGTTATTCTGATGGATACTGTAGCTGGCAGGGTCAGCCCACGGCGCTGCCTATTGTAGACCAGACCCTGTCCAAGACAGGGTCGGCTCACTTTCATAAATATACTCCTGCACATTATATGAGCTGCCAAGGGTGTTGTGTGATTGAAGGGGGATATATATTTGATGAATAAATAGCAAATAAATAATTGAGGAAGAATACTGTTCGAGACACAGATTGTGACAGAAAAGACACAATTCCTGAGACACGATAGATGATCCTGCCAGCCCTTCGAAGTAAGAAGCTAAGAAACCGAAGTTCTGAGGGCCAATATTTCTTTTTAATAAAAGAAATATTGGCCCTCAGGACTTTGGTTACAGCAACAAAATCTTGCAAGCCTTATCTTTCTGAAAACTGGGATAGGGGGGAGTCTGTGTTGGCTTGGACTCAGATGGCTTTTGGCTGACCATTTTGTCTTGTTTGTTGCTCTTCTCCTGTCCCTCAAGATTACCCCTTCTCCCCATCAGCCTCCATGCCCCCCCCCCCGTCCCCCATGTTCTTAGATCTTCTCCTCTCCCACCAACTCCCCAAGAGCCCACAAGAAACCCTGTAATGTGGCTGTATTGTCTTGAGGAGCAAATTCCTCCTCTGGTTCTTGCTGCTTCTGCAGTGCTGCCTATCCTTCCTCTTCCCATGCCAGAAGTCGCTGCCTCCTCTCCCTCCAGTCCCGTGTCTCTGATGCAGATGGAGCTGGACATCTTCCCTGCCCTACTTAGCTCTGTGGGCTCTGCAATGGCGGTACTTGTCAAGGACAGGATTTGTCAGGGAACTGGTCATGAAATGGAAACTGATCACAATCCTTGCGTCTCTTGCTAATGGTCACAATCCAATCCAGCAAGCTTTCCGAGCTGGGTGGATTGCTTTGCCAAGGCCTTACCTCCAGCCGGATAGCCTTCTTGAGGTTGAGGGCTTTAGTGGCCTTGAAGTTGACCAGCAGGCAGTGCTCAGTGAAGGGCTCAATGATGCCAATGTCCTCAGACAAGCAGAAGTCGTCGCCAATGTTCTCCAGGCCACTGATCCGCCAGGCGACTGGCAGGGGAGTCACGTTCTTTAGGTAAAGTGATTTTGTTTCCTTTCTGCAAACACAAGAGAAGCCAGGCAGATGCGGATATATTTTGAAATCCCAATTTCAGGTGTAAATTCAGCCTTCCTGCAGTATTAGGCCTTGTTTTTCTGAATTATTTCATTTGGATTACTTTTCAAATATGAAGTTATTTATGAATTTATATTAATGTATCTTATTTACTTTAGTGAATTGATATGGCCACCCATCTCATCTAAGCAACTCTGCGTGGCTCATACAGATTTTTTTTTAAAAAAAGATCCAATAAAACATTACAAACCAATTTATTATAATAACATAATAGAAACATATTTTTCTAGCTTTTGTCTATTTTTTCCTTAGCTTCTTTAGGCTTTCTGAAAAAGAATTTAAATGCTACTTCAGGCTTGACACTCTTTAGCTGGTGGGGGGGGGGGTTCTAGAGATAAGGGAGGGGGAGGGTTATGTCTAGGTGGCATTCTTTCATGTGAGAATAGAGAAAATGCCTGCAGCGGGTGGAAGGTGGAGTTTGGAGTCACCGGACTGATGGGCTGAGAATTGATTGGAGATTGTGATTCTGGGGGGAAGTTTCAAACGTTTGCTTTTATTAGGTGTAATTCCGGGATCTAGCCAGAGTAAGAATTACACCAGTTTCTTACCAATTTAATAGAACCCTAATAAACAGACTTTAAGATGGATGCCTTGCATTTTTATTCAGGGGATTTGTTACTTGGAAGGCTGACAGTAAAATCCTTGGACTCTATGATCTGAAGTCCTGCCATAAACAGTGTCAGGGAATTTATTTTGTTAAGAAGAAGCAGGAAGGACCACAACTCCATGTTCAACATACCGTTAACATATTTCAAGTCTCTGGCCATCTAGAGTAGACTGTCCTATTCAAACAGAAACCCTATCCTCATTGGCACTTGCCTTTTACCACTGAAAATTGGGATGGGATGGGGTGGAGAAGAAATAGCAAGCGCTATATCAAATCCTGGTTCAGTTAACAGCGGTGTCCCCCGAGGCAGCGTTCTAGGACCCACACTCTTTATATAAATGACCTTTGTAATCACCTTATAAGCAACTGCGCCCTCTTTGCGGATGACATAAAACTATTCAACACCACCAACAATGCTACTGTCCTTCAAAGTGACCTTGATTATGTGTCTGAATGGTCAAACAATTGGCAACTCCAAATCTCGACCAATAAATGTTCTGTCCTACACGTTGGTAACAAATATCAGTACACCAAATACAAACTAGGCAGATATGACTTCATTGATTATCCTCACTCTGTCAAGGACCTTGGAGTTCTCATATCAAATGACTTAAGCGCCAGAGCTTACTGTAACAGCATTGCCAAAAAGGTATTAAGAGTTGTAAATCTAATCTTACGAAGCTTCTCCTCCGGAAATATCAAATTGCTAACTAGAGCATACAGAACTTTTGCCAGACCAATACTCAAATACAGCTCATCAGTCTGGAATCCACACTGCATATCGGACATTAAGACAATTGAGCGAATCCAGATGTATTTCACTAGGAGAGTCCTCCATTCCTCTGCTTGCAACAGACAATATCCTACACTACCAGACTTGAAATTTTGGGCTTGGACTACCTTGAACTACGATGCCTACAGTTAGACTTAAGTGTAGCACACAAAATTATTAAATTGTCCTACCAGTCAGCTTCAACCACAACAATACAAGAGCACACAACAGATACAAACTCAATGTAAACCGCTTCAAACTCAATTGCAGAAAGTACGACTTCAGCAACAGAGTGGTCAGCGCCTGGAATGCACTACCTGACTCTGTTGTTACATCCTCTAATCCCCACTCCTTTAACCTCAACCTATCCACTACTGACCTCACCCCATTCCTAAGAGGTCTGTAAGGGGCGTGCACAAGCACACCATCGTGCCTACCGTCTCTGTCCTATTGTCCCCATTTATTCGTACCTATTTCCTGTATTCTTACTCATGTTTATACTTATACCTATTATCTTGTAAGCGATTGACAAATCAAATAAATAAATAAAATAAATAGAAATAGAATAGAATTCTTTATTGGCCAAGTGTGATTGGACACACAAGAAATGTGTCTCTGGTACATAAGCTCACAGTGTACATATAAATAGCAAGTAATGAGACCTATTAATCAAGGTTTTGGGAAAACAGTATTCTACAAAACCTTTAGCAGGATGGCCATTTGCTGTTGCAAACCAGATGGCCATATTTAATGATACCCCTCCAAACCCAATCCCAATCAAATAACTTAGATTTAGACTTTAGCAGCATTATGATACCTAAGGCCAGAAAGCTGGTCAAAAATCCCCTAAAATATCCCCCCCTCCCCCAATGTTCCAGGTGAAGGGAAGAGACAAACAGATGGCTAAAATAGGTTGATCTCCAAAAGCCCAACCTGTGCAGCAACAACTTTTCAAAATGCAGCTGTCGGCGGTCCAGCTCCACTTCTGGGCGAACCCCCTGGCAGCAGATCCGGAAGGTGACTGGCTCCGGATTCTCCTTCACACAACAGATGATGCTATCTTCAAACACACCAGCTGCTGTTGGGTAAGCCCAGACGGTCAACACCTGGAAGGACAGGAAAGGGCCTGAGTGGCATCTCCTCTGACAGTGAAGGCTGTTAGGGAAAGTAAAGTAAGAAGCCCTTACTTGCTTCTGGTTCGGCTTCAGCATCAGCATGGGTGGGTCCAAGAGGTACGTGACTGCCCTGGAGTCCTGCTGGAAGAAGAAGTGCACTTCGACCTCCAAAGGGGAGATGTTGAGAATGGTGAGTTTTTCAAAGTGGTTGGGATATCGTGCAGCCTTGTACCTAGAGAGCACAGTAGGGAGGCAGAAGGGAGAAGACAGGGGCCAAAGGGTCTTTGGGTTGCTGCTATATTTATTGTTGTTTCAACCACCTTATTGAGGTTTTTGTTGGTTGTTTATATTGTAAGCTTATACTGTAAGAATCAGTCGAGTTAGGCGGTTCTATAAACTTGATTAAATCAATGAATAAATAAATAACACCAAAGCAATGTGATCCCGACATTACACATTCTCTTAAGCATCTTCTTTTAGACATGTGAAAAGGCAATTCAGCTTGCACTTCCCTACTCCACAATCAGGCTACTGGCTACTGTTATATCCAGGGGTGGGTTTCTACCGGTTCTGTCCACCTCTGTAGAATCGGTAGCTCTGAAGAGCAGCAGACATAGAACCGGTTCTATGTCTGCTGATGTTTTTGCCCACCCACCCACCCAGGCTCTTACTTGACCTTTATTTCCTGATTTTTTTCAACTTCAGCTGCCGTGCGAGGCACAGCTGCAGTTAAAAAAGAAAGAAAAAAGGGCTTTTTGAAAGGCTGCTTCTCTGCACGTAGCATGCTGATGCCTTCAGCCCAACGTTGCTTTTGATTGCATTGGTGGAAAAAAAATAATCTCTTTTTGAAAATCCTCTTGTGCTTTCCTTGATGCCCCCCTCTTATATCCCACAAATACTTACTTTTCTCTTGACTTGCCACAAAGCAAGGGACCAAAGTGGAATACACCCAAGCTCAGGATGTATTTCTTGTAGACAATTTCATCAGGCTTGATAGTCTTCTTACGATGGGGAAACACTATCCTGGATCAGAGAAGCACAGATGCGTCAGCAGCTGAACAAAATAAGAGGTCCAAGCATACAAGACATGGGCAGGAGCTGATGCCAGCAACCATCCAAAGAACCCTGCTGGTTTCCTGGGGAACAAGGAAACTGATCTAAAGAACTAGGGTACCCAATGCAGACCAGACCCTCTACAGAGCAATTCCCTTAAGTCTTCCCTTAAGACACTCTCATCCTGCAGTATCTGCCAATGTTGACAGTACAAAGAGAACAAATTGTTGAAAAGTACAATCTTCATTCTTAGGATAATGTAATTCCCACCCATTTTAGATGGAAAAATCCACATTTATTTTGCTGTCTATAGGAAGACAACTTTTTAACAACTGGATCAGCCTTGTTATGTTGAAACAGATAAAATCACATGTAACCCAAAGCAATTCAGATGCTAAGAGGAGATTTGGTCACAGTAACGTTATTCGATTTCCAATTCAGCTTCTGACTACTAACTTCAAAAAGGCAGAAAAACCCACAAGGTAGCATCCTTTACTCATGAAAAGATGCCACAGACAGGTGTCTCCTCAGCTAAAGTCCAAGCTGGGGGGCCTCTTGCATCCATACTGGAGGACACAATAAGGGCCACAATATGTCCAGCTTCACTGCTCTGTATCTTAGCATGGAATATGCCCGTGACGAGGCGGGGCTGTTTCCTCCTGCTTACGTGGGATCCTGGCAGATGGTAGGGTACGTGCAGGTGCCCCTGCAGCACACCTGATACTGTCTCCGAGTTCCAAGGATTTCAAAATTTAGAACCTGATCAAAGAGTGCTGTTTTGGTGGAAGAGAAATGGATGCGCATCGAAACTTCCCCATTAGCAGGTACAATCCAGCGAAAGCAGTTCAACCTGTGGAATACAAAGCACAACAGATCTGCTTTAAGCCAGCGTCTCTAAGGCCAAACTTTTGAATGCAAGCTTCGTGGGCACAGAATTCTCTGCTCCATCACAGAAGCAAGTTCTCCTGTTTTCTGAAAAAGATGCTCCTTAGACATTGGGGAAGAAGTCCTTCCTTCCCCTTGGATAGGGCCCACTATTTAAATCTGTCAAGGTCCTTTTGGATCCTGAGCTTGTCTTCTGGGATGTTGGCTATTCCTGCCAGCTTAGTATCATCTGCAAATTTGCTGAGTTCCCTTCTATTCCCTCATCTAAGCCATTTAGGAAGATATTGATGAGTCCTGGGCCTAGGACGGAGCCTTGTTGTGCCCCACTGCTTACTTCTCTCCATGTGGATTTAGAAACAGACAAAACCTCAGAAGGTTCAAGGAACAAACATAAACCCGTAAGATAAGATTTAAAGTCAGTAAGACTTAAAAACAGAAAAAAAACAAACAAACAGAAAAATGGGCATTTCAAAAGAAACGGTTATTTATGTGCTGGGGAGGGGCCCTTCCGTTCCCATCTGTGGCCCACAGCGTTTCCTCATCTCCCGGTCCCTGACCGCAAGGGCAGGCCGATCTATGCAGGTTCTTCTTCTCCTCCTCCCCCCCACGGGGGCTTGTGCCTCAGGACCCTAACCTGAGCAGCTTCTCACTGGAAGCCTCTGTGGTGGGACTGCCCTGATCAAGCTCAGACAGCGTGGTCATGGTGCCGGGGCTGGGATGGATGCCTTTTCTGCTGCGAGAGGCACCTTTCTTTTCCTTCGGGGCTTCACGGGAGACCTCAGGTTTCTCCTTCCTGGACTTGCCTCGAGTAGGGGTGGCCAGATCCTCCTGAAAGCCAGTAGAAACAGAGCAAGACAGAAAGCCAATAAATGAGAATATCAACATTAATATTAACATTAACATTCAACAAAGATTAATATCAAACCTACAATCAAGTAAACAATACCCCAATTGAGGAACTGCCACACAAGCCAATCATAAACAGCCCAACCAAAGAACCTCTAAGACCAACCCCACCATCACTGACAGGGCAAACCATTAGAACATCAACTGAGCGCAAACCCCACTCCTTACTAGCACTGATGATGTTACCTAGTTTGGACAATGAAACATCTGCAAGAAAAGTCAGAGACTCAGAGAGCACCAAGGTCCCCTCAAGAAGGAAAGTGTGAAACTAGGAATCAGGAAGTCCAACCACCATAATCTTAACAGTGCTGACAGAAACGTTTTAGGTTATATATCTTCATATCATTGGCTAGCTAGTGGATAACCATAAAGGAGTACCACTTGATCTTTGTGCTAGTAGGAATCAACTTTTCTCAAAGAATGGACACATTTGGACGTGATCTCTCAGAAAATCACTTTGTGAATGGAGTAGCATATTTACATTCCAACATGTAGTGCAAGGCAATATATATATTAAGCAACTCTATTTCCTTTCACTGTATCAAGGATGAAGTATTTTGGGGCAGCAGCCAGTCTGGACATGGTTAATGCCAAGAGAACTTCTTTCAAAGATTTTATCTGTAAGTTTTATTAAGAAGATTGAGGAAGAACACAAGAATGCACTACTAGAACTGCAAAACCAGGCACAACTTGCTAATAAAGTGTCAGGCATGGGGAAACCAAGAACAGCACACGATGAATTGCTCAAAATAGTTTCTTGATTGCTTTTTTGCCTACAGACAGGAATCTTTTCAGACTAAACCACACTCACTATATATAGGACCGACTCTCTTCATACTCTACATAAATGACCTCTGTGATCATATTAAGAGCAACTGTGTTCTCTTCGCTGATGATGTAAAGCTATTCAACACCACAGAAAATACTACTACCCTCCAAAAAGACCTCGACTATGTATCAGAATGGTCAATCAAATGGCAACTTCAAATCTCAACAAATAAATGTTCTGTCTTACATATTGGCAAAAAAAAATCAGAAAATAAAATACAGGCTGAATAGTCAAGACCTTGTTGATGATCCAAACTCTGCCAAGGACCTTGGAGTACTCACCTCTAATGATCTAAGTGCTAGAGCCCACTGTAACTACATAGCCAAAAAGGCATTAAGAGTTGTTAACCTAATCCTGCGTAGCTTTTTCTCTGGTAATATCACTCTACTAACTAGAGCATACAAAACATTTGCTAGACCTATACTTGAATACAGCTCATCAGTCTGGAACCCACATCACATATCTGATATTTATACAGTTGAGAAAGTCCAGAAATATTTCACAAAAGAGTTCTCCGCTCCTCTACTCATTGCAGAATACCTTATGCCACTAGACTTGAAACTCTAGACCTAGAAAACTTAGAACTACGCCGCCTTCGGTCCGATCTAAATATAGAATATAAAATCATACATTGCAATGTCCTACCTGTCAATGAATACTTCAGCTTTAACCATAACAATACAAGAGCACACAACAGATACAAACTCAAGGTTAACTGCACCAAACTTGATTGCAGGAAATATGACTTCAGCAACAGAGTGGTCAATGTCTGGAACACTCTACCTGACTATGTGGTTTCTATCCCAAACCTCAAAAACTTTAATCTTAGACTGTCTACTATTGACCTCACCCCTTTCCTAAGAGTTCTGTAGGGGGCGTGCCTAAGCGCACCAACATGCCTACCGTCCCTGTCCTATTGTTTCTTTTTTATTTTTCTTATACATATCCATTTCATGTATTCATAACTATGTTTATACTTATACCTGTTATCTTGTAAGTGATTGACAAATCAAATAAATAAAATAAAATAAAATAAAATAAATAAATAAATAACTATCAAATAAATGCTGTGATGACTTAGGGACCATCTTTTCTGGGCTTCGTCCTTTGTACCAATGGCTCAGTGCTGATTCATCTCCTCTCCCTCCTGCAACTCAGCACCAGACAACTTGCCAAAGACTTTCTTTCTAGCCTGAGGCAGAGAGGGCAGCTGAGCTGGCAGGCTGCCCATTTCTCTAACATGGCACACAAGCCCCCCTCCCTACCTTGGGCTGGAATTCTGATTTTCTGGGGCATGGTGGGAGGGGAGCTGACATGCTTGGTTGGAGAAAGAAACCTTAGATCATTAGGATCTGAGTTTTCTTTCTCTGGCCCAGCACACTGGTTTTGCACACAGAGGGGAGCTGGCAAGAGGGTTAGAGTTAGGGTCAGGGTTAAGGCCATTCCCCACTTAGAGCCTTGCCTTACTTCTGACATGTCCTGTTCTGATTCAATTTGCAGGTGGCTCCATATTTTTCGGGGCAACATTTTCAATGGATGGATGGAAACTAATCAAGGAGAGAAGCAACCTAGAACTAAGGAGAAATTTCCTGATAGTGAGAACAATTAGCCAGTCGAACCGCTTGCATTCAGAAGTTGGGGTGGTCCATCAGTGGAAGTTTTTAAGAAGAGACTGGACAGCTACTTATCTGAATTGGTATAGGGCCTCTTGCACGAGCAGTGGGTTGGAATATAAAACCTCCAAGGTCCCTTCCAACTCTGTTATTTTGTTATGATTGCATTGTATTTTCCCTAAGTTTTCTTCTCTTTTTTAAAGAGAAAAAATAAAATTTAAATTACCCAAATCCTTTGAGCACTTCTTAGAAGGGCTGGTGGCCAGACCCTTCTCCATCTTGGTAGCCATCCTCTGAACTCACCTCAGTTGGGCACTGTCCCAGACCATACACTAAAGGTCAAAGAATGGAAAGATACTCCTCTGTCTGTTCATGTCAGAGGAGACATTTACCAGCACCTTTACTGTCAGGATTTGGGCTTACACCCTAAGAAGCATCATCAGCATCTGTCAACCAAGCTACTTCATGCAACCCAGATACCCCTAAGCAGCAACTCCGTACCTTTGCCACAGGGAGACTTGCTGGAGTCTCCACACCACTCTCACCCTCCTTTTTGTCCTCCTCTTGATTCAGTTCTTCAGGAATAATGAAGGTGAAGTGCTTGAGAGCTTCTGAGGCAACTTGTGCTGGTCGCTTCTCGGGGTATGGGATCACTGAGAAAAAGGCGGTGGGAGGAATGGGCGGCCCTGAGGGACCCAGCCCCAAACCATTCAAGATCTAGAGCAAGGAATAAAATGGAGTTGTTGCTTCCATGCTGTGCTTAATGAAATTGCAAACACAGACCTTGAACCTTTGTTTTTAGCCTTATCCCAAAGCCTTATCGACTTATTTAGGGGCAGCTTCGGATCCAGGTTTGGCTTTCCTGGCAGTTGAGCAGAAGCTCTGCATTGAATGGTCAGCCTTCAGTCGTTCAAACAAGCCAATGATGCAGGAACCATAAGAGCACAGATTATGGAACTGCTCTTAGATGGCATATTAGCATCAAAAAATGTTTTTGAGAAAACCAGGGGACAAAATGTCTGGAGGTTGGTTCCCACTTGGTGGTTCTTGAGTCTGTACCATGAGTAAGCTACACCCCCACCATCCCATATACACATAGATATTATATAGCTTGTAAAAAGGCAAGACACTACAGGGCACCTTTTTTGACCCTTTGGAGTGACCCACATTTTCTCAGTCTGACTGGACATCCCTTGCACTAAGGTTTCCCCCCAAGTTAATGAATTCCTGAATCCCATCATAAACCTTGCCACCAGCCTGCAACTTCCTCCCTGCAAAGCCCAGCCCAGCCTACTCACTGAGCAGATAACCCCAGGGCTCACCTGGATTACCCTGGGCAGTTTGCCACTTTCCAGGATCCGCTTGCCACTGGACTCCTCGGAACTGAGCACGTGGATTTCCAGAGAGGGGATGCCAAGGTCCCTCTCCATGCCTTCTCCTCCTCCTTCTCCCTCCAACCCAGCGGCTCTGCTATCCTCCATGGCCTTCAGCTTTTCCAGGCGTTCCCGCTCTGCTTTCTCCTTCTCCAAGCGCTCCTTCTCTGCCCGCTCCTTCTCCAGCCTCTCCTGGCGCTCTCTTTCCCGGTCCTTCCTGCCTTTGCGACCGGATGGAGCCTGGCGCTGATCCTCAGCTTCCTCCTGCTTATCCTCTGAGCCTGGTGGCTGCAGCTGCACCAGCTGGACCCTGTCCCAGAACATCAGGATCTGAGCGATCTCCTTCTGGCTGGCCTCGTACAGCTTGAACCGCTGTGCCAAGCTCTTCTCATTCTCGCTTATATCCTTTTCTGCTTCCTCCTCTTCCTGGGCTGCAGGAGGCGCTGTGCCTGGCTGCTCATTCTGCAGCGCCATTCTGCTCTTCTTTTTCTTCTCATCTTTGTCATTGACACTCACATCTGGACGCTCCTTTGCAGAACCTTTTCTCTCTAGCCCTTCATTCAGCTTCCCTTCTGATTTGTAAGCTGATATGGTGGGGTTCTGTGAGAGGAAAAGGAAGGAAGCCTTCAGCTGCTCTAACTGTCTTGCGCTTGCATCAAGGAAAAGAGCCTCTATAAACCAAGCTCCCAGGCTTTCCAGCACCCGGATGTTGTGACTAAGGAAACTGGCATCCCCTACCTGGTCATCAGTAATGACAATTCAAAGAGCAAAGCCATCTAGATTGCTCCATCAGCAGCATCAATTTACTGGTCCAAAGTATAATGGTGTAGGAGTTGCCCATATAGAGTGTAAGAAGATGGCCCTGATAGAAATATACCAGTTCTGTTGCTTAGGCAAAAGACCTAAAATTGTTTTAAGTTAAGAACGTCCAGATAATGGTTGGAAGTGATTCAGGCACCTCCCTAATTCACTGCACTGTAACCAAGAAGTCAAACCCCATCAGCCTTGCAAAATTCTGACCCCTTGGACTGGTCCAGCTGGTGGGGTTGACAGTGATGCAGCAGTTGGGCAGGACTCTCCTTGAGACTTACCTGCTTGCTTCCTTGCTGGCCTTTTTTCCCTGCTGCCTCTTCTTTCTCTTTCCCCCCATCCCTCTTATATCGCTTGGACTTCTTCTTCACCTCCTCTTCCTCCCGCTGGCGCTCCAGTTCTTGTTGATGCTTCTTTTCCTCCAGCTCTCGAGCTAGCTTCTCCAGCTCCCTTCCAGGCATTTAACAAGGAGAAATTTAAATAAATCTACACAAATGTCTATAAAACATTTAGCCATGAATTTCATTAGTTTTTTCCCCTAGATTAAGGTCCACAGTTTTGGTAAGAGCCACATCCTGTGCATGGCAACAAAACCACAACTCACCTTCCTCTGTGGGACCCAAGCAAATTTGCAGACCTGAAAGGGAAAAGATTCCTCACCTTCTTTTTCTCTCTCGTAAGGCCTGCAGCAGCTCATTGTCAAATTGGATCTTTTGTTCTTCAGTAAGGGCATCATACTCCTCTTCATCCATTTCCTGAAGACGAGCTTTCTCTCTTGCAACAGCTTCCTGCTGTGCCCGCTCTTTCACAGAGATCGAGAAGGAAAAGAAATGCCTCAATCTGCCCACTGGCATTAATGATGCCAATGCCCGAGTTCCTATCTCATTACAGTTCTTGCAAACAGAAGAAGCAGGCAAGAAAGGCAAGGCGAAAGAAGAAGGAACTCAAATCTGACAACCACAAATTCCACTGCCTGATTCTACAGAATGTGACTGGGAATAAGACACAAAAAAGAATGACTGGATGAGCCCACAAGAACCACATCCTTCTTACCTTCCTGCTCTTGTTTGCTTATCTCTCTAGCTTTCATAGCCGCAAAATCCTGGAAGAGATTCACGAAATAGATATACCGCCGGTTGTTGATTGCTTTGAGTAGGCAGAGGAGTGCTGATACCATGCTGCGGGCAAACATAGTTTCTAACCCATCGAACACCATGCCACGATAGCAATCACTCAGCTGTCCAAAAAATGGAAGAACACCACATTTAGGCCAGTAAACAGCATGTCGGGTGCTGTGTACACATCCCACTAATGCAAGTGAAAGGCATTCCAGAAAACCTCCACCCCAATCAAGACAGACACCTTCTCAAAAGTTCCTTTTATTATAGTAGTAAACTGGCACATCTGGGAAATCCCGAATTTGAAAGTTCTGGGTTTCCCTTCAATAAGTAAAAAATTACAAATCCACCCCCTGCACCCCTCATTGCATCACATGCCCCAATCACCATCCGTCCCAACTTGAAACATCCCCTCAACCACTCCTCAGCCAGGTGCAGAAATAACATCACCTTGACTTAGAAGAAGAATGCTATTATGTCTAACCATATATGCTCTAAGAAACCCCACCTCCCATTTTTCCACATTCAAGAATGTGGCAGTGTGAATTCTAAATTAATACAAATTTTAACACACACACACAAAAAGAAAAAAGAACAAGTATAGGTTTCCCCTCTTTTAGTATTTTGAGTGTGACACCTTAATGATTAGAATATACCTTTATTCCCTCATCTTAATTCCCAATAGACCATTAATCATTACATCTTTTCAATTGGATTCCACAGCATATCCCCCCCTCTTTAGTAAGAGTTATCAGTATCTATATTACCCTATTTTCTAACTATTTTTAATTGCAGAAATATTCTTATTACCCCTTGTCACCCTGCAGAATCCCCTTTTTAATTCATCAACCATTATCTCTGAAAAAACAATTTCTTTTCAACATTTTACTAGTTCTGTGTTTCTTTCTTTCACATGCCTGTTTCTTACTGCTTCTCCTCCCCCTTTTCCCCATATCTTTTCTCATTCCAATTTATATCCCTCTCTTTCTTAATATCTTCCTTTCCCCTTTTCTGCTGAGTCTTTCTGCCTTTCCTGACTTCACAGGTATTCCTTCTTTTAATTGTGAAGAAACAATTTCCTTTCAACATTTTACTATTTCTGTATTTCTTTCTTTCATATGCCTGTTTCTTGCTGCTTCTCCTCCCCCTCTTTTCCCCATATCTTTTCTCATTCCAGTTTATATCCCTCTCTTTCTTAATATCTTCCTTTCCCCTTTTCTGCTGAATCTTCCTGCCTTTCCTGACTTCACAGGTATTCCCTTTTAATTGCCTTCTTAAGATTCAAGTTTTTAACCTTCCTTCTTTCCCCACTTCTTTGTAGCATTCTTTGTGTTAATTGTCTATTTAAAATGTCTTCTCCTTGAGTTGATTCCTCTTCCTCTGAAAATCTTTCTTCTTGTTCTTCAATCGCCATTTCCATTTTTTCTAGCACAGAGCAAAGTGATTCGCCTCTTTCCTGTAGTAATTTTCTCATATTTTTAAGTTCCATTTTTAATTCCCGAAGAGATATCAACATTCTTATATTTTATGATCGTTAAAGTCCACAAAAAGAAACCACTTTTACTTTCCTTCTTTCTTCTTTCATTTTTTTAAGGTTCTCAGTTATTCCAGTCCTGGGTTTATACCAAAAACGTCAATCAGTCCCACAAACAATCTTTCCTTGCTTTTTCCTTTATTCTGGTTCTGCTTTCACTTTCTAAAATTCTTACTTTGTTTCAATGTTTCTGTAATGTTATATCCACACCAGTTCATTCAAAAACAGGATGCTTTCCCTTTTATTTGAACCAAATTTTTATCAAAAGGTGACACTCTCCATTATACAAAGTCTTCACCTTTTTCCCCTATTTTTTTTATTTAAGGTTTTTCGAACCTCAGTATTCCAGCACAGTCGTCTCCAATTTGTAAACTTTGTTATTATTATTCTTTGACAATCTTAAGTCCAGCTTTAGTTTTATACTTGTTTATTCCCAAATTATTTTAGTCCAATTTTATTAAATCTTTAATTCCAGCTTCTTCCTTTCCCGGTTCGAAGCCCCATTTAGCTGTCAAAAATATTTTTTTTTCTCTGTCCCTTTGTAATTTCGCCGCTCACTTCTCTTTTCTTAAAAATTCTATGTTACCTTAATCCCGGGGTACTTTTGTTTAGTTATATTGCCCAGTTGTCCCGGTTCAGATGTTATCCACCTCTTTCTTCCCTCCTGCACAAATCTTAGTCCAGCTGAGTCGTCCTCTTCGGGGTGGCCATTTAGACCACCACTGCAGTCGTCTTCGGGAGGAAAAAAAAAAACCAAGCCCAGGGGGGGGAGATGCGGCTCCCCACAATCAGGCTTGCTGCTTCCTCTTACTCTGGAGGGGCCAAGGCAGTTTCAGCCCCTAATCAGAATGATTGGGGCTCTCCGACGAAAGAGCACGAACGATAGCCGCAGAGAGTTGCGATCTACCGTCCGTCGGCGAGGAGGCTCCCCCTTCTTCTTCCCTTGTGTAATGGAAAGGGAATATGACAGACTAAAGAACCAGCTAAATTAATAAGTTTAATATAGATTATTAAAAGCAAGGAGAGACGTTGATAACTTCATTATTACTACTATTAGGCAAATATATATTGTTTATTTTTATTTTTAAAATAAATATTAAGGATTATATTTGAAATAATTGAAATGAAATAAAAAGATGTTTAGATTGAGATTAATGAAAGAATTTAGAATTAAACTTTATTATTATTATTATTATTAGGCAAACACATATTGTTTATGTTTATGTTTAAAAACAAATACTAAAGGATTATATTTGAAATAATTGAAATGAAACAAAAAGATGTTTCAAATTAGATTAATGAAAGAGGCTACAATTAATGTGTTTGTTTCTCTCCTTACTGAAAATTTGGAATGGAAAAGGTAATAATAGAATTAAGTATGCATATATCAATGTATAATTGCTGTCATATTTGTATGTAAAGGTGATGACCCGGAAATATGTTGTCCACTAAAAAGAGATTTTTGTTTTTAATGTGAAAAACTGAATAAAGTTTGTTTTTTTAAAAAAAAGAATGTGGCAGTGTGGAAGCATCTGGTACTAATATGGCTTCCAAAGCTGACAGGAGTTCCCCCTTGAAAAAATCATGTCCTGAAAAATACAATAAATAAAACACAACAAGGGGTTAACGTATTGTCATCAGGCCACTTAACACTCTCTCCCCCCTCCAAGGGGACCCTTTGGCTTGTCGGGGAACTTGTCATGGAATTGTTTAATCAATTTATCTGCATGTACATCCCAACTTTTCACCCAAGTAGCTTCTGACAAAGTGTAGCCTTTCCACAGCACTAAATATTGTAATCATCCTCGGTGTAATCTAGAGTCAAGGATTTTCTTGATTTCATAATGTGCTTCACCTTGTACTACCAAAGACTTGGGGTGAGGGGGGGAAACTACTGGTATTGGTCATAGATTGGAACCAATAGCAGGCTTCAACAAGTTACTATGGAATACAGGGTGTATTTTCCCTAACAGCTGAGGGAGGCTAAGTTGGACAGCCACTGGATTGATTACTTTCAATATAGAAAAGGGATCCAGAAATTTAGGTCCCAACTTCTTACTAAGAAACTTCAACTTAAGATATTTAGTTAACAAAAACACTTTGTCACCCACCCTAAAATGTGGTTGGAGAGATCTATGTTTGTCTGCCTGTTTTTTATATTCCTCAGCTGGCCACCAGAATTGTCTTCTGACTAAATCTAGGGTTTTAAAAAAACCTAAAGTGCCGCCCCAATTGAGAGTCATGGCTGCATTTTAGTACCATCAATCTCATTATATTGGGTATATAAATCTTGCTTCCTTTCCAAGCTAATCCTTTACTCATTGTCAAATCAGTTTGATTTTCAGCAAACCATGGATCATTTGAGAGTGCTGCTTTCAAATCTGTTATCAGTTTGTCCTCAGGGAGTCTAGAACTGCATTGGGCTTGTCCTCTGGTGGTCACTTGGCCAGCAGGTTGGGCTTCTGATATCATAGTTTGCACTACTTCCTCCTGACGACTGTCAAATTGGGGTTTTCTCGATAAGTCATCTGCCAATAAGTCGTCCCCCCCCCCACCGGGATATATTTCAGTCTAAAATTGAATCTCTTAAAGTATTAAGCCCAGTGAACTTGTTTAGGGGAAAGTTTCCAAGAGGTCGTCAGAGCCTCGAGGTTCTTATGATCAGTCCACACTGTGAAAGGCTCCTTTGCTCCTTCCACAAAATTCCTCCAAAATAGTAAAGCCCATCGCATGACAAATGCCTCTTTTTCCCAAACTGCCCACCTACGCTCTGTGTCTGTCAACTTTTTGGACACATAAGTGCAAGGCATCAGCTGGTCTTGAGAGTTCTTTTGAAGAACAATCGCCATAACAGCCACATCACTGACATCGGCTTGGACTACAAAAGGTTTGGTTGGGTCTGGATGTTGGAGGATAGGCTCAGTGGCAAAAAGGCATTTTAATGTCTCAAAAGATTTCTGACAGTTCATTGTCCAAGTAAGGGGTTGATTAGGTTTCGGTTTGGTGGGGGAAGGCCCAGTTTTCAGTAACTCTGTTAAAGGGAGGGCGACCTCGGCAAACGAAGGGATGAATTGTCAATAAAAATGTGCAAAACCCAGGAAGCTTTGAAGTTGTTTACGTGTCCTTGGGGGCTGCCAGTCTAGCACCGCATTCACCTTTCCAGGGTCCATCTCAATCCCCTGATTTGACACTGAGATGCCCAGGTAGTCCAAAGACACTTTATGGAATTTGCATTTTGACAGCTTTGTGTATAGCTTGGCAGCTAAAAGTTTTTTCAGTACTTGTCTGACTAATTTGACATGTTCTTCTAGGGTCTCACTGAATATACGAATGTCAACAAAGTAAACAAGGATCCCCTTGTACAAATGTGCATGTAACACTTCATTGATCAGCTGCATAAATACAGCGGGGACCCCTTGGAGTCTGAAAGGCATGACTCGGAACTGAAAACTCCCCAGAGGGCAGTTAAATGCCATTTTCCACTCGTCTCCTTCCTTTATGCGGACTTGGTCATAGGTTTCTCTCAGATCTGACTTGGTAAAGATTTTGCCTTTTGACAGGTGATTTAACAAGTCCTTCTTCATT